GATATGGTATCAGATGGGCATCATTCTCCACTTAAATTGGTGGGATTCACACATTTCCCAAACGCTGCGTATATCATATTTATCGCCACTATTTGGAAACATCCTCAGGCTGTAAGGCGTTGTACCTAGATGGGTACACGGGAGTATTTACTATATATGGTCATGGAAAGAGCAACTCCGATGCTCAACACTCGCATGTAATGGATGCTACACTCATTAGCCACCCTTTTAAGACCTTTTCCTCGTAATTCGAGGAATATGTCTCCCGGCCAAATATGCACATCGAATACTGTCTCGAAGCTCTGGTATCCATGAAAGGATTTTTGCCAGACAAGTCGCTGCCTGCCGTTGCCTCGCTGCCAAGTTGATGGCAGAAAAGTTCGGCTCCGTGTAGACTTTTTTTCTCAATGCTGCTCGTAATTCTGTCGTCATCGTGTATTAAGAGACTGTAACGATGAAACAGAAAATGCAATGTTAGAGGACTCAGATACTTTACTTCGAATTTTTAACATATACCCTCGGAAGTTGCCAAGTCTTGGAAGTCCTCCAAAGTACCTAGAACGACAACGTTTCAATCATACCAATTCCCACGGCCTAGTGCTCTTCATCCATGCTCTTCTATTCAAAAACACTCTGATGTTCGTCAGGCACGACCCTTTTGCTTCGTAATTCGAAGCAGATGCTTGTGGCCAACGTCTCTGCAGTCTCTAAGCTTAATGTCTAAGTCTCAGAAGTCGCTAAAGCTGCCAAAGTCACCAGTCCGGTCTCCCAAGGTGCCACAGTGGACTCGAACCTCCCACGCCAGTGCCCTTCTATCCCAAACGCTCCAACCCTCCCTCAAGTACAAACATCTGCTTCGTAATTCGAAGCAGACGTTGTGGCCAAAGTTTTTGCAGTCTCTAATCCCAATATCTACAACTTCACATCTTTGCTCCGTAATTCGAAGCGGATGTTGCCAACGTCTTCGAAGTCGCCAAAGTAAACAGCTACCGCGTTTGACTTGGACCTCCCACGGCACTGCTCTTCTATCCTAAACACTCCGACGTTCGTCAAGTACCACCCTTTGCTCCGTAATTCGAAGCAGATGCATGTGGCCAACGTCTCCGTAGTCACTAAGCTTAATATGTAAAGCCTCAGAAGTCGCTAAAGCTGTTAAATTCGCCAGTCCAGCCTCCCAAGGTGCCACATCTGACTTCAACCTCTCACGCCAGGGCCCTTATATCCAAAATACTCGGACGCTCGTACAAACCTCTGCTTCGTAATTCGAAGCAGATGTCGCCAAAGTCTTGGAAGTCTCCCAAGGTTCCACATCTGACTTGAACCTCTCACGCCAGCGCCCTTATATCCAAAATACTCGGACATTCGTACAAACCTCTGCTTCGTAATTCGAAGCAGATGTCGCCAAAGTCTGGAAGTCTCCCAAGGTTCCACATCTGACTTGAACCTCTCACGCCAGCGCCCTTATATCCAAAATACTCGGACATTCGTACAAACCTCTGCTTCGTAATTCGAAGCAGATGTCGCCAAAGTCTTGGAGGTCTCCGAAGCTGCTACGTTTCACTCGAACTCCTTGGTACGCCGGTGCCCTTACATCCAAAACATCCCGACGCTCGTACAAACCTCTACTACTTCGTAATTCGAAGCAGATGTCGCCAAAGTCTTGGAGGTCTCCGAAGCTGCTATGTTTGACTTGAACCTCTCACGCCAGCGCCCTTATATCCAAAATACTCGGACATTCGTACAAACCTCTGCTTCGTAATTCGAAGCAGATGTCGCCAAAGTCTTGGAAGCCTCCGAAGCTGCTACGTTTGACTTGAACCTCTCACGCCAGTGCCCTTATATCCAATGTACTCGGATGTTCGTACAAACCTTTGCTTCGTAATTCGAAGCAGACGCTGTCGCAAACGGCTCCATAGCCTCTAACCCTAATGTCTAAAGTCTCGGAAGTCGCTAAAGTCGCCAGCCTCCAAGCTGCCACGTTGACTTGGACGCGTCAAACTGAGCCTTCCCTCGTCGGACCCCCCGTCATGTCCTCTACAACACCTCCATAGCGGTCCTCAACCAGATCCCTTCATCGTACGAACGCCGTTTTCCTTGTCAACCGCATGCTCACATTTACCGCAGGCAAAACGTCAGATCGCCCCTTCCTCTCAATCCTCCTAGTTTACTAGTCGTTGCAGGTTCATGTCGTACGTGTTTTTTTTTGTAATCCGGCATCGCTTGCATTCACTTAGAGGTCAACGTACTAAAGACTTTTTCAGCGGTGTACGACTCTACACGTATTCGCTGATTGCAGAGGTTATCCTAGAAGTAGATCATGCTCAACCATTTGCACAAACGCTATGGAGAAACTGACGCGTTCGACTGCTTCATTCGTTTCAGACCGCACTCGCTCAAATTTTTCTGGTACGAGACTTCCTCACATTCGCATTCATTATCTTGCAGCAGTTTGCCCTACATATACTACATATACTACATATACCACAGGTATACCCATTTCCCGGTTTCACCGTGTGACTCGTCTATGCAGCCCTACAATCGATCAAGCTACAGATAACACCATTGTCGTGACCATGGACGGCCGCAGAAACTCACCGTCCCCATATCGCCTCACCCCCAAGTTCGCCTACTGTAATGCAGCAGTCCCATCCCCCTTGCCCCGCTTCCATGAACCCAATCAGTGGAAACCATGCTGGTACTCCTACGTCAGGTAGCGTGCTCTCTCTGGTTTCCTGCGACCTCGCTATTTTTGATCCTGATCATCTGCTGATGTTCCGGTGTCAATTGGAACAAAGGCGGGCTAGCACGAGACCGAACGAGTGTAGGTTGGAATGGACAGCAACAGCGCATCCAGCAGTCGTGTTCTATTGTAGCCGTGTACATGTAATTCACATTTCCAATATCATTGTAACAGATCCGGTACAACCTAGAGTAACGCGAAAATATTGTATGCACACACATTTGCACATGTCCTAGTATCATTTTCTGGAGAGTTGATCTTGCTCAGCTCTGACAACTTTCACGGAACGCCATCCATTCTCAGCACAGTTGGTTCTCAGCGTGCCTCAATCTCAAAACATTAAATTTGACCACAGTTGAAGGATTCGCGACTCCACATAATCATTATCTATAGCACGTTGAACTACAGACCACCGAAATGGAATTTCCACGTTTGTGTGTGGAATTGTGGATCAACAATATTGCCATTTGTGGCACCTCAACATTGCTCACACTCCGCCTGCCTTGATTACTCAAATCCTTGACTTAAACTCCTCGTCACTTGTTCATCAACTACATTCAATCTCACCGTAACTTCTCGTTGGAAATTCCAGCGAGTCGTTTCTCGGTGGTTTATATCTCTACGAACACGCGCTCAACAAGCACTCCGACTCTAAATACCTGCCCATCTGCGTTTCAACACATCACCAGTGCGCATCCAGCATTTCGTTGATATCCCCAACCACCTAAACTCGAGTCTTCTCTCCGTGGTTCAGTCCCTCAACTTCTCGAACCGCGCATTGCCTTACACCCTCTCCGACACGTCACATGCCTCGGTTCAACGCTCCATCCTCAAGAAAGCCAAAGGCCGCGAATTCCACACCTCGTATACGGCCTGCGGCCATGTCTGTGACTCGAAAACCCACAGTCGAAGATCATGCTCCTGGTGAGACAAATCCTCATCATCATTCACAACACCTCATTTCCGTTCCTTAGACAATGAAAAGGGATCAACGTCCCTCGGAGCTTCGTCTTGGCCAGAGAACCCATGGGCAGACGTCGAGCAAATCACCACACGGCCAAAACGGGGCCCTACATGTACGTCGACCGAATATCTATTAACACTCGTCTGACTCCTTTGCTCCAGTCGTCGACTATTGCAGCAAGCCGGGCCAATTCTGGCCAGACGGACAAGAGCCTCCCTTCAAAGGTCAGAAAGCCGCGAAGCGTATCTTCGTCACCAAAGGCAAAACGCAACCGCGCAAAGAGATCACCAAAAATTACGAAGAAATCAAAGAGCTGAAGAACTATGTGCCGTCTGACATATTTCACCCACGAACGGGAGATATCGAACTCTACTACGACTACTCCGACTACGACGGTACCGACGAGGAGGATCTATTTGACATCGACGAGGATGACGCTATACCTCCCCCCGCAGTCGCTCCCGTTCCTCCTCCTACCGTTGTCCCCGCTCCTCCTCGTGTCACTGTGCATGTACCGGCTGTAGGTCCCCCTCCTCCTCCTTCGACATCACCAGGCGGGCTGCCACAGTGTCAAACTGAAACGGAGCAGCAAAAGATGGAAAAGAGGAAGAAGCTGAAACAAATATTCAAGGATAAAGCTGATGCACGAGCAGCCGATTTTGCGCGGGCCAAGAAAGAGAAGGAGATGGAGGAGCAGAAGGAGATCGACAGGCAGAAGGAAGACGAGAGGCAGCTCGACATCGTCAGGCAGAAGAAGCAGCTCGAGATCGAGAGGCAGAAGCAGCTCGAGATCGAGAGGCAGAAGCAGCTCGAGATCGAGAGGCAGATGGAAGTCGAGAGGCAGAAGCAGCTCGAGATCGAAAGGCAGCAGGAATCCGACAGGCAGAGGGAGCTTGAGATCAAGAGGCAGCAGGACCTTGAGATCGAAAGGCAGAAGGAAGCCGACAGGCAGAGGGAACTTGAACGTGAACGCCTCGAACGGGTACAGAAGGCGGATTCGGGTGGTCGAGTTATCGCGGAGGACGGCATGGACGTCGACATCGAGCCAGGCGAAGTGACCTCTGGGTCACACGCACCATCTCCAACCAAGGGCAAGACGGACACAGTCAATCGCCGAGATCGTTCTCCTCGTCGCCCACATGCGCCCTTCGTTCCAAACCGTTCACGTCGTTCATTGTCTCCTCCTCCACGTGGATCGCCATACCATGCATCTCGCCGAGAACTGTCTCCCCCCCGTCGACCATCGTCATATAGAGATTACGCTCCGTCTCAGTCTGACCGTCGCGCGCCTCCTCGTCGTTACCGATCACCTCCCCAAGAACATTCGACTCGCCGCGGTAGATCCCCCTCGCCGGGTAGAGCTCGGGGAAGTCACAGACAGTCCAACCGTCAACACAGTCCTGTCCGGAGAAGTTATCGCAGTACGTTTGCTTTCCCTCAAAACAGGCAGCTTGTCATAACAATTTTTTCTTATCACAGCGCCTTTGCCTCATCGCGGGCCACAACCAAACCGGCGCCGTGAGTACATACTATCGTTACTCTGAATCCTGAACTTATTTTTATATTTATAGCTCTTGATTCATGTCACCCTTCGTATCCCACACGAGCACCTTCCACCAACGTACCTGCTGCACCGTCATCAATTCCTGGCACTTTGTCTCTCCCAATGGGATATCTACAGTTCTTGCCCTCTTCTACTGTAACAAGCGTCGCAGGGTTGAACATGATGGGCTGCCGTCCTGCCAATAACACAGTAACCCGCTTCATCTTAGATCGAACGAACTGCCTCGCACAGTACGACGACCTCAATCCGCTTTCCCCGTCGTTGCGTAGCGATCCTCAAAATCGCCTTCTCCACATCGCTTGTTACCCTCCATATCACCTCCTCCATGCCATATCTCGTGGTAGGTTGGTCGTATCCAAGAGGACTGAAATCAGACTGCGTCTATGGAGAGCGCAATATCCGGATGTCCCCCTGTGGTTTTTCGCAATTCGTTGTCTCTCCCGCGGAATGGATTGGCGGGTCTTTGCCAATCCCCAGCACCTCGTCGGCCCACTGAGTACCCTCTCAGGTCCACGTCCCGCCTATCTGGACCAAAAACCTCTCTTGCTCACAAGGGGCAACGGAGAGTTTGAGCGGTACGAAAACAGCGTCAGGGATATGCTCCGACTCCCATTCAGCCGCCGTTTCTGTGGTATGGGCGGTCTTCTGTGGCGACTTGCAATCCAATTTGGACCAGACAACCTAATTTCGGCTGCCCTGTCTGGACCTTCGAGCGACGCTTCTATGCACTCGAACGTCGAGCGTATCGGCACCGATGTTGACGACATGGTAACGGACGCCCACATCAATACCCTATTAGGCCTAACGGACGACAACCATATCTTATGGCCTCCCATTGATGTATTTGACAAGTACACGCAGTGGCAAGGAGAATGGACGGCAAGCCTGGAGACATGGTTCATGAGGCACATTGCCGCGATGAAAAATAGGGATTCGCGCGCATTTGCCACCCGTAGTCAATGGATATCGAGACTTGGCCAGCATACGGCAACTTCGTTCAAAGACGCCAAGGTTGTGACTGAGGGGCAAGCGGAGTTGTTGTGCTACGACATTGATCGGTTGGATCCGAGATCTTTCGCGGCTTTAGATTAGCTTGGGTCATCGTCATTTTATTTGGTTTACAGAAATCGCTCGTTATACCCATACCGCACATCTAGCAACGGAATGTACTTTTACTTACTCATACTTCTTGTACAATTATTGGGTTCAGGAATTCAAACTTCAAGAACAGAACGGTATTTGCACGATACATTGGATCAAAGGACTATCGCTTCATGGTATGCAATTTTGTCTTGAGACTTTTTCCAAATCTACGTCTTATAAGTCCACGAAGTCGAACCTCGAAATCTATGTCTCAGAAGTCGCTAAAGTGGAACTTCCAAATCTATGTCTTACAAGTCGCTGAAGTAGTCACAACCGAATTACCATTACTAGTATCCGATATTTATTCATGTACAATAATGATCGCTACACGGTCTTTCTCCAGTTAATTCCTGTATACAGGCGAAGATCAGGGAGAACACATCGGTGTCCCAGTTTGAAAGTTTGTTTTGGAGGACTGAGACAAGTTGTTCGAAACCCATGCCGGTATCAACATGCTTGTTTGGGAGTGGCTCAAGCAAGCATGTTGATACAGGCATGGGTTTCGAACAACTTGTCTCAGTCCTCCAAAACAAACTTTCAAACTGGGACACCGATGTGTTCTCCCTGATCTTCGCCTGTATACAGGAATTAACTGGAGAAAGACCGTGTAGCGATCATTATTGTACATGAATAAATATCGGATACTAGTAATGGTAATTCGGTTGTGACTACTTCAGCGACTTGTAAGACATAGATTTGGAAGTTCCACTTCAGCGATAGATTTGGAAGTTCCACTTCAGCGACTTCTGAGACATAGATTTCGAGGTTCGACTTCGTGGACTTATAAGACATCGATTTGGAAAAAGTCTCAAGACAAAACTGCATACCATGAAGCGATAATCCTTTGATCGAATGTATCGTGCAAATCCCATATCTTAAGGACGTTTGGGTCGTCACCATCCTGAGGCCCATGAACTCAAATGCTGAACGGTGCTGATACTGTTTCTGCGGATGTGACTGCCCGAATCAGTGGTGGACCGAAGTTGAAAACCGATAGTATGGTTCTCGACCACTTCCGACTTAATGCTTTAACGCATCAACATCGACGTTCGACCAGATCACTAGTCTGTAATTCAGACTAGTCATCCTTCCGGAAAGACAACCTGGCTGTAGACGCTTTCCCTCCTCACGGCGTGCACTTGAACCCGATTCTCGACCCTCTGCTACTCACTCTCCCTCTCTCAACACTCCTGTGCATATCCCCCCGCAGGACATGGCGTCCATAAATTCGATCACAAATTTCTGCGCGGGTTCTCCTCGCCATAGAACCGCAACGCTAGTTGAACGGCTGGTACTGTGACGCACATCTCGGACTGTCTTGCAACTACTGTGCCGTAAATCTCAAATATGTCCATGCCCCTCGGACTTTGCTTGTTTAGACAGCAATCCTTTTACTGTCATGATAGAAGCACTCATATCCACCGAGTCGGTATTGAAATGTTGACATGTGTGTATATGTTCATATACAGATGTTGAGAATCCTCAATCGATGCCTTCCATGTCACAGCGCCTTGCCGTCCACCTCTCTTAAGAGTTCTGGACATTAGATTCGCAGTATACATCGTTCCTCCGCTCACCAGTCGCAAATGCTTCGCCTCCACGACGACATCCTACTCGAACTCTTCGAGTACGCCTACGAGCAAGCGCGAGATGAGCTACTTCAGTGACTTCATCCCTCTCGCTACCGTCAATAAAACCTTTTTTTCACGTCTCGATCCCGCCATTGTGGAGGAAGCTACCATCTGTAGAGCCCCTGCTACACCTCATACCCGAGCATGTCTTGCAAAAACGGTTGATTGAGAACCAGTGGTCATATGTAGGTCAAGCCTTTTGTATCCCGCCTTTCGGTCAGCGCGCATATTCACGTGACACACAACGGAGACACGCTTCCAATCCACTTTTTGGAAGACCTATATAGCATCCCGATGGCACATGTCAACCTCGCGTGCTTCTCCATGTGTATAGGCTTAGTTAGTGGGTTAGTGTTTTAGTGAAAAACGTGTCAGCACATGGAACGAGACACGCAGACATGTGAACAACCCAATGTCATCCACAGTTTCAGCTACAGTGGAAATTGGAGATTGTCGAGCATCTCAAGACACTCGATATGTTGTTCCGTTCTGCTAACAACTTGCAGTGTCCGAGATTTGGGTCTTACAAAGGCACAACTTGGGATAGCTGGACGAGCAAAGGACCTAGGGAGTTTCATGGCGTGTTCCATAAAGAAACAGCTCTTGGTGCACAACTGCGACGCAAACGGTGCAAGGAGACATCAAAGTCGAAGTCGAAAACCAGATGTGGCACCACTCAAATTTCGGACTTTAATTCCGGTGTCGAGGCCTATTTCTTCACAAAAAAATGTATTGGAAGTCCCAGGAGCACCTGAGGATACCACGTGACTCTCACACTGAAGACTTGTATTAAAAGAATCCGTTGAACAGACAATGCATTAAAAAAACCATTGCTCCGCTTCATCCATAGCACGCAGACTGGAACAGATATTCAGGGATGTCACACCACTTGCAGAAGAACGCGACGACGAAGAGAAAGGAGTTTAAACAACACACCTATTCCCTATCACCTTTAACTATCCTCAGAATGATGCACGGACATCACATAACTGGTAAAAGTACATGGCTGTTCACAGTATATTGTCTACCATAGTGCATCGCACCAACAGACAATAAACATCGCTAAAAAACCCTTATTAACAGCACATGACCCCTGTTCGTCCTTGTAGTGCCATACAAACTTGTTAGTAGTATAAACAAATGCAGAAACAGAACATACACCTTTCATTAGCAAGCCGTTCATCCTGGATCTCTTGTCCTCCTCTTGCCTCTGACACTAGAGCTTATCACGTTCGCTGTGCGCGTGCGTTCGCGCCACGTCAGCATTCGCTGACGTGTCCTGCGGCTACTATGCGCTCGGCTCCATGAGTTGCTGATTGGGCATGGTCGGGTGAAGAGAAGGTGCTGGAGGGCTGGGATGACGCAGGTGACAGATAGACTTTTGGCAGCTGACAAGTAGTAGCTGCATGAGGGTCAAGTACTAGCAAAAAGTTAATTGTTTAGAGTAGTACCTACTGTGTAGTAACGCGAGACTTAGCAAATTTGAAAGTAAGGTACTGAGCGTGTGAAATTGCTCTGGTACCATGGGTACTGTGGTTGTCTGTGGCACTGTCTGGCTGTGACTTCAGGTGTGCAAACTGTGGACCTCTGGGACAAAATTTATAGTTTGCTAATGTTGCGAGGGTAGATTCTGATATTGTCGCAGCTCTCTACATATTCAAATCAACCGAAAACAATTTGGCTTTGAGTTGCAAACAATGACAGTGTAAACAAATGTAGACGGAAGGAAAGCTATGAACGAAAAGTCATCCACCTCATTCACATGTCATAGGTGACCCTTCATTGCCATCACTGCTTGACCCTTCCAAACTTGACGATGGCCTCCGGCGTTTTGCAGGGCGACGATTGGATGCTTCAGCGTTGTGCTCCTGTCTTTTCTTCCCCTTGGAGCCCTTTCGATCGGCATCTCGCGTGGCGTTCACGAAAAAGTTGTTGAGTCCAGACGACGGGGGGAAGTGGTGCCAGAAGAGCATCGGAGCAATGGTAGGTTTGACACGGAAGAAATACTCGTTGTCCTTGTCAATAGCCACCCAGGCGGATGTCCATTGACACTTTGCACAGGTAATGCGAACCTTGCCGTTCTTTGTTGATACCCGGTTATCCGATACCGCGGGACGGCAGCCCTCCTTTGCGCATGCACTGAACTCGTGACCAAACGCACGATACGGAGGACGGTGTTTGCCTATCTCTCTGCTCTCGACTATGCGCTTCCCCTCTACATATGAGCCATAGACAATCACGACGGTGTTGTGGTCCAAAACATCTGGACTGGAGGCGAGCAATTCGCACAATGAGTCCCAGACATCCGGTATTCCGAACAGTGTAGCATTGCGAACAAAGGCTTGAACCATGGGGCCAACGTTCACAGGGAGGGTCGAGGCCCCTCCAAATCCAACGATGAAATCAAAGACGTCCCTAAGATACATGTGAGGGGGGAAGTGCGATAAACCAATGCAATAAATACCACTTACTCCTTCACCAGTTTCAGCAGTGAGTCAAAGTGATGGCTGACCCGTATGGCAGGCCCACAAGTGACAAGGATAAGTCCCCGTCGTCCACCCCTCGCCTTTGGTGTGGTATCGCACCATGGTGTGCCGCCCATGGCGGTTGTCTCCACCGACTCATCCTCCCTCGCATTTTTTGACGCGAACCTCATCGCCGCTATGAACTTCTTACCGAGGTAGGCTTGTATGATTTCTGCAGCCGTGGTGTTGGTTCCTCCGGAAGCCCCACCGGTATGCTGCAACATACCAGTGTACTCATCGGAGTGAGTGTCCATGATCACAAAGGTATTGCTGGGAACGTTTTCCAACATGGAGGTGGTGATAAAGTTCGAAGGTATTGTCAACAGACGCGATTGTTTGTCATGAGCCCCTGCCTTCATGGCTAGGCTAGCTGTGGTTAACTGTTGATTACAAAGGTTAGTTGCAGGGGTCAAGGAGGAGGAGTGGCTTACATTTGCAGATGATTGTTTGTATTGGGTCACGAGGTCAAGATTAATCAGGAGCTTCAGATATTGGTCCTTCATCGAATCTAAGGTTATGTGAACAATGCAAGCTGGCCACGCCTTCTTCACTCTCTTGCGCATCCCATAACCGATTACCTTGTAAGGCAAGCTCCTCTCCTTTCCATCAACCTTTCTAGCGCACAGTGGGCACAGGAACTCCCAATTCTTCGGCACCGAGTCATGGGCAATGCATCCAGATCCGCCTGGCCGTGTTTGGTGACATATAACGGCGCCACATTTGACACACGTGTAGGACGTTGTTGCATCACACCCATCCGAGCAGAAATGGCAGAAGGTCCCAAGATGGTCGAGTTCAATTTTTGTGATATCGGCGATGGGAGGTTCCATGTCGTGTGCAGCTGGGGGCCGACTGACGGGGGCTGCAATCGATGGATCTTGCAATGTCAGACTGCCGATGTCGACGCGCCCAGGGGCAGAGCGAGCGATTCCGAGGTGAATGGCAGCAGCACGGGCTTTTGCTTTTGGAGGCATTGCGTTCGAGTTGAAGGATGGCACCAACAAAAGAATTCAATCTGCAGGGCAAGCAATACTGATCTAGACTTGTGACTGGTTACCCACATATGGACGAACTCATTTTAACACTCCGACCAATCTCCGATCAAACCTCCCACGTTAGTCTCTGTTTAATAATTTACAGTGTATGAACTTCGGGCCGCGCTGGAACATAAGTTGATTTTCACAAAACTCGTGAGAAAGATTCCCAGTTTCGAGTTCTTCTAACCGAGAAGTGAAATGTGAAGAACCAAAAAATCAAATCCAAGCCATGCAAGTTAAAACTTCACGGACTGGTAAGTGCACCGTGATGTGACGTTTTGAATCTACCTACCCTGACATCCCAGTGAGTTTTTGGCTGTCTTTCCTTCGTACCATTGACCTTTTCCCCATTTTTCGTACCAGGACAGCGTTTTACTTAGCCTATCGTACATTCACAATCTGATACTCATCTAAATAATCATTCGTGCGTAGTACGGGATTTTTGCGAAATGAAGGGACTGCCTGGGCATTTGACGTCGGCACTCGTATTTACCACGGTCTGAAAAAAATGAGCAGCCAGAAAGTAGTAAGGTACAGCGTTGTTTCTTCTGAACTTATACAGACAAGGAAAAATGAATATCCTATCGCCTGGTGGATACAAATACCACACTAGGTTGCTTGTGCATGCAAGACGAAAACTGTATCAACCAACATCTCTTTTTGCCAACGACTCTTCCTCTTCCAACTTCTTGAACAAGGAGTTGAGTATCTTTTTGTCTACCCGACAAGGATCGAGTGTCCGCAGTGCTTCGTGCACAGTTTGTACATGAATTGGAGGGATGTCGGTCAACAGTATGTTGCGGAGCTCATTGAACGAGATACCGTCGTGGCTGTAAGACCTGATGGCCCTTTCCACGTCCACCAAGGAGAAAATCGATTCTGATCTGAAGTCGTCCTCGCTGGTCGTTTGGTCATCTTCATCAGGTGCTGCAGTGAATTGCGAAATTTGATCTGATGGTGAGTTGGGACTTATGTCCATCTCATCCTGAAATTCAACGATGGTGTCAGGAGTATAATCAGGAGGGGCGTTCGATGATGTTGATGGCTGATCCTCCTGGTTCTTACCAGCGCTCGAATGAACACGGTTGTACCAGAAAGCGTCTGCAGACTTCAAGACTTCGTTGATGCTGCTGAGTGTCTGGCTCAAACTCTGCACGGAACGCCATACGGAATCACTACTCGGTATGGTGGAAAATCGATCCACGCATGCACGGAACAATTGGTCAGCATCCTGGGGCTTCTCCTTCAAGTGCCGAAGGTAAGACCTTATAGCGATCTTTGCATCTAAGGTTGGAAACGGAGACTCGGACTTTTCCCCCTTCGTGAATCCTAAGAATAATATGTCAAGAACAACTACGAAATTCATTTTGCGTTCAACTTGCCTTGACCTGTACCATCATCCCGCCGTCCGTCTTGCAGGTCTAGGCTACAAGCGAGTAACTGACTGAACTGGCGCCATGTGGTCAGGCCCTCATACAGGTGATCCACTCTCTCCGACCATCGATCTCGCTCCTGGTCCGTAGGGAAAAAATCCATAATTTCTTGCACAAATTCTGCCTTCTCGATGTGTTCCTCCTCCGCCAGGCAATGGTGCAAAAATACAAGGGGTTTATCAAGGTTATGTCCTGCACATGCGGAAACGACGATATAAGTGAGCGCAAACATGTTAGTATTTGAAGAACTCGCCACTGCGAAGCCATGCCTCCCTCCTCGAGCTAGAGATTCGCATCTTTAGGAGCATTGGTGTATGGCCAGCAGTCTGTTGCTCGCTATCTTGAACAGATGCCTCAGTCTGATCCATATCCATGTTGGATGGGATGTCCTTAGCAGGAGGGGTTGGTCGCGCCACGGAGGAGGGAACAGGTGATGTTTTGTGTACATCATTTGTGCAGTCAATCATAGGCAGTGTAGCCGTGACCTCAGGCGATCTATCACTTCTAATGGTAGCCTCCTCGTGACCATCTAAACAATTCAACGAATGTTGGCTGCAGGCACAGGAAACAAACAGGGAACACACCCGTGCCCATTGACGAACGGCTTTCCATTTCCTGTGGGGAAACATGCCGCTTATCACCTACAATGAATAATGCACAGATGTAAGGTGTGGACACATGCAGCGCAAAAGAACCATACCTCGGCTCTCACTCAATGATTTCGAACGGTGATCATGTGCTTGCTGCAGCACTGTAGTCACCGTGTTGGGTTTGACCTTTTGCATAACCCATTTCCACACCTTGAGATCCCTCGCACCTGGATCAGAAAATCTACTGATGCTGCGAAGAAATATATCGGCAGCGGTGTCGGGGTTTCTTTTCGAATTGCGCAAGTAAGCTCGCACCGCGATCCTCGCATCCAACTTGAGAAATGGGAGGTCAGGCTCGCCACCGTCTGTGAATCAGGTTATGATATGCAGTCCCACAGAAGTTATAATGTCATGAATGCACATACCTGAACCCATTGTGTTAGCGCGCCGATCCAGCTCCAAATTCAACCCATCAGCCACTAAATCACTGAACTCGTCCCATGCCATCTCTCCGTCGATCAGCTGGTCGACGCGAAATGACCACTGGTGTCGTGCCTCGTCGTTGGCTAGCATGTCCATAACTTCCCTCAGGAAGTCTCCACGTTCGATCTCCCCCTCAGCCTGCAAGCAATGGTACAAAAAGATCAGAGGTTCATCGAGGGTGAACCCTGCAAGGCATCACAAGAAATGTTAGTTCAGGCAGAGAATCTAAGCAACCTACTGCTGACCATCACGTAGAAACTTGTCCTTTCGTTCACTGATGAATCGAATTGGAGGCTCATGGGACTCGTGCCACTTGTCTGGCAATTCCGCGTTTTCATTGAATGCGATGTCGATCTCTTCCCCTCCCTTTTTGAGCTGCTTGAGGGCTGCATCCATATCTTTCTTGAACATCTCTGAGAGGTCGAGTCCCTTGGACATCCATGCATTGTCCGTCCCGCCAAGCATCATCGGGATATCATTCATGTTTACACCCCAGCCCGTTTCTGAGGCCATCGCGAGTTAGCGCAGATGCACACATCCGCATCAGGTACGCCTACCTAGCATCTTCTTGTTTCCTGGGTGCAACGGATCGGCCTTTAAATACATGTCCGCATCGTCAGGCAACTCATCGAACTCCACGAATAGCCAATCTCGGTGATCGCGAATGAGGAACTCGTCGAGTGATTTAATCCGCTCATCATTCACACCGTTCGCCATGCACTCTTCCAACACAATTCTTCTGGCAACCATAGCTTGAAGGAAACGTGCACCAGCATTCTTGCGAGAGGTGTCAATCAGATCCGCCCTCTCTTGTTGCGTCTTTGTATTCTTCTGCTTTTTTTGATTCTTCTTTGACTCACCATCCCAACATTTCCACACCGCGAGCCAGTACTCTACACAGTAGCAAAGATACACCCAGGACGACCGATATCTGGTGGGGAGTGGCACATAGCCGAGAATCCGCCGGTCCTTCATAGCAGGAACCCGCAAAAACTCAAGCTGAGCGGTATCCCCTGCACCATAGCTTATCAGTTCCGGAACACCGTAATGAATCCTGAGAGGTGCACGTGCATCCCATTGGTCCATAGAGAGTTCGGCCTTGCTGACAGGGATGCGGAAATGACGGATGGGTTGAGGAAGTGCCCCACTGATAGCAGCGCGTTTTTCTGTAGATTTTGCTGCGGTCATCGCACGATGGTGCTTTCGAACGGGTTTGAAGCGAGGCTGGAGCACCGTGCGCCTGTGTCGCTGGCTGCCTGTTTTCTTGCTGCGAGGCATTTCAGTGAGTGTTAGCACGAGAGGTGTAAGTGAACTAGTTCTTATATGCTTGATTAATCGGACAGAGAGGTACAGATGGTCAGCCCTGACATTGACTTGGAACTCCGCCGGCAATCGCCGGTGGCTTGTGCAGATACCTTTTACGGTGTGATGCCGGAAGAATTCTCAATGTCCGATCGTTGATTCCCTTTTCAACATTTGCTAACTTGTGTTTGTTCCTTTGTTTTGACGTGTGACTTTTGTCACACTTGGCCTCTGATCACTCCTGAAATCTGCAAGAACATTATGGCATTGACTCACGAGAAGCAGGCAAATCAAGAAAGACAAAGGAATGATTTATTATGGGCAATATAGCAAGTACAGTATGAAGATATATTACTTTGTTTAGTTGGATGAGTCGAGTGTGGATGACAGATGACAATCATCGAGTGCAGTGAGTTGCACTAACTCGTTTTGCGCAAGGCGTACTAGTATCGACATAGGGAGTGCCCTGAAGATACGAGCGTTAGAGTGATTGATGCAGCCTGCATAAGGCACAATACTTTTCGAACCATTGATGTGACCGAAAGTTACACATTTGGCTATTACAAATTATTGTGCAAACACCGAGCTCGGAAAGACATTCTCACGCACCTCTACAGTGTGTTGCATATGAGATTGCAGTGCGTGTTTTTCAAAACTCGGCCTCGCTACCTTTACCGGCACTTGTATACCATAATTAGATGTCACATCTTGTAATACGCCGTGCGTCTGTGTGAGTGACTCAGTGCTTTGACCACCATCAGCATCGACCTGCGGTCCAACACACCACATGTAAGTCTTTGCACTTTCGCTACTTACGAACGACTTTGACCTGTTGTTTTTTGACTAGATGAATACTGTTAGTCGTTCTAACCTATCTGCCGCATTCTCGGCTCATGTACTGCAAGACATGGAATGCTCGTCTCGATTTGAAGAAAGCTGAGAAGAGGCAGCGCATTAATTGACTTAACTATAGATTGTTTTTCATTGATATTGACTATGCTCCGAGTCGTTCCTACATTATCACTCAATTTAGTTCGTGATGTGGTTGGATTCATACTACACTATATACTGGTACTACACATTGAAGGACTGCCCTCGAATGAAAGTTGATCTGCGAACACACGCGCGCCCGATATCTGCCTATCCCTGCATCCTCTGATTGGTCTTGTCATCAACACTGGACTCATCCAGCCAGACACAGTATTCAGCCCGTATATCCCCATATGCGGCTTGCCAAGTTACCCGCAAGAGCTCATTCCTCTCCGCAGCCGTTTTGGAAATGTCTTTGTGGGTCATTCCCAGCCTTCGAGTGGCGCGTGAAAGGGTAGCGAGAGAAATGTCTTTGTTCCGAGCAGTGAGAAGTTGTTCTTGTAGTTCATCCAAGTACATGGCAGGGTTTGCCTGGAGTAGTGCATGGATGTATTCAGTGTCGACGGTGTCAAGAACGCGGGGACGACCCCTGCGGCGTGCAAAGGGGTTGGTGACTTGACCATAGTCTCGGTGCAAGCGAAGAATATTGTATACTGTCTTCTCTGAGCATTGAGCAAGCTGAGATATTTCAAGAGCTGTCCTGTGCTGTTCAAACCGCCAGAATACGATATTCTGGCGCATTTCCTGGTTAGTGAATGACCCTGGCATAACGAACTGACTGAGGTTTCGTTTCATCAAGCGGCAGTGGCTAGAGTGACATGTCACATCCCTTGACCTAGTTAAGGTATACAAGTGCCGGTAAAGGTAGCGAGGCCGAGTTTTGAAAAACACGCACTGCAATCTCATATGCAACACACTGTAAAGTCTTTTGATATTTTTGCTCTTTCTCTTATAAATGGGGTATAAGCCCACTCAATAATGATTTTATTTGGCCATTTTACACTAAGGTCTCACGGTGAGTAGGCAAGCGGAGTCCCCCAGCTACATGCCCAGGGGACTCAGACAGATTTTATTGTGAACCGAGAGACAGAAGTAGTACATAACGCGGCAGCCTATCAGGCAAAGTAGATGCAAGACTCGATTATGTGTGTGCTTTGGATGAGCAATAAGTTTATTTCGTACACAAGATGACGGCCAACAAATAAATCAGGCATGTTATTGAGTGGTTATTTTATTTGCCATTTTATTTCGCACTCGGAATACTGTATTGAGTTGGGAGTTTGATACGAGAGAGAGCTGCCAAAATGCCGACTGAGTGAGACGAACACAACAAGGACTAGTGCTCGACATCGCGAACGCTGATGCCAATATGAACCAGCAAGAAAGTGCACGCGGTCACCACAACATCTCAGCAAACATGCTACCGATGTATGATCAGTCGACGGGGCAGATATGGGACCCTGCCCCCCACCTGATGCCACAGTGGTCAGCACAACCTCATCTCGTTCCCCTTCACCCAAACAAACACAACAAGGAATCACACACCTCAGTCATGGCAACCCCAGAGCAAAAACCACCCCAGTCACTAAAAAAAATTAATCGTGCCGCCATCCATGGCCACGAGAAGGAAAGAGTACTACGTTCCGAGATAACAGAGACCCTCCAATGGCCCACGTGGAACTGGCGGGTGCCCATGTGCGCTATCGAACACATATACCCACCCCCTCGACTCATGTCAAAAAAATCAAGCCTGTTTATGAATAATAACAATGCCACTTACACCTATGGCCTTGTGAGATGAACTGAGATTGCAATGATGGTAGTACAGTCTCTGGACCTTTCCCATCAGAGTTTTCACTGTTTCAACCATGGTGCTTGAGGTTATGGGTGGCGGTGCTCGCTTGCGTAATCCCGAGTTGGACTGCTGTGTGGTCGTGTGGTGGTTTGTTTGGCGTTGAGGATTTGTATATATCTGTTCAATGTTCAACTTTTTCTTCCAACTTCTCAAGTTCCCACCACATAACGATGTGGACGCCTCCCTGACAAGGGAGTGTGCTATGGAGTCATCCAGACATCTATGCACCACGTTACCTTCTCCTGTCAAGGGGCAGCAATCCAGGCAGACATGACTGGCTACCTGTGTTCATGTATTCATTTGTTTGATTGTAGGCGAGGCGTTGTTGCCCAATTATCACTGAGGCCATGGTGGTCTTGCGTTTCCCAACGAGCGTTATGTTGCCTTGCAGCCGCATCCCTGCAATGTTGGTGCGTGAGCTGGAGTCATTCAGACATGTGTGTGCTGCCTTCACTTCTCCTGCCAAGGAAAGTCAGGACCTGGCTGTCAGGCCAGGGAAGTCGGAACCGGATTTCCATCAATAGAACATGACTCTAAGTCCTATGCTGAGTCTAGCCAGGCACTACAAGGGCGAACAGGGGTCATGCACTGTTGATAAGGGTTTATATATATATATCAATGTTTATTGTCTGTTGGTGCGATGCACTATGTTAGACAAAACATACAGGTGTATACTGTGAAATGCTATGTACTTTTATGTGATTTCCGTGTTTTGGTCTGAGGATAGTTAAAGCCAGCTAAAGGCAATACATATTTGAGATTTACGGCACAGTAGTTGCAAGACAGTCCGAGATGTGCGTCACAGTACCAGCCGTTCAACTAGCGTTGCGGTTCTATGGCGAGGAGAACCCGCGCAGAAGGAAGGCATCGATTGAGGATTCTCAACATCTGTATATGAACATATACACACATGTCAACATTTCAATACCGACTCGGTGGATATGAGTGCTTCTATCATGACAGTAAAAGGATTGCTGTCTAAACAAGCAAAGTCCGAGGGGCATGGACATATTTGAGATTTACGGCACAGTAGTTGCAAGACAGTCCGAGATGTGCGTCACAGTACCAGCCGTTCAACTAGCGTTGCGGTTCTATGGCGAGGAGAACCCGCGCAGAAATTTGTGATCGAATTTATGGACGCCATGTCCTGCGGGGGGATATGCACAGGAGTGTTGAGAGAGGGAGAGTGAGTAGCAGAGGGTCGAGAATCGGGTTCAAGTGCACGCCGTGAGGAGGGAAAGCGTCTACAGCCAGGTTGTCTTTCCGGAAGGATGACTAGTCTGAATTACAGACTAGTGATCTGGTCGAACGTCGATGTTGATGCGTTAAAGCATTAAGTCGGAAGTGGTCGAGAACCATACTATCGGTTTTCAACTTCGGTCCACCACTGATTCGGGCAGTCACATCCGCAGAAACAGTATCAGCACCGTTCAGCATTTGAGTTCATGGGCCTCAGGATGGTGACGACCCAAACGTCCTTAAGATATGGGATTTGCACGATACATTCGATCAAAGGATTATCGCTTCATGGTATGCAGTTTTGTCTTGAGACTTTTTCCAAATCGATGTCTTATAAGTCCACGAAGTCGAACCTCGAAATCTATGTCTCAGAAGTCGCTGAAGTGGAACTTCCAAATCTATCGCTGAAGTGGAACTTCCAAATCTATGTCTTACAAGTCGCTGAAGTAGTCACAACCGAATTACCATTACTAGTATCCGATATTTATTCATGTACAATAATGATCGCTACACGGTCTTTCTCCAGTTAATTCCTGTATACAGGCGAAGATCAGGGAGAACACATCGGTGTCCCAGTTTGAAAGTTTGTTTTGGAGGACTGAGACAAGTTGTTCGAAACCCATGCCTGTATCAACATGCTTGCTTGAGCCACTCCCAAACAAGCATGTTGATACCGGCATGGGTTTCGAACAACTTGTCTCAGTCCTCCAAAACAAACTTTCAAACTGGGACACCGATGTGTTCTCCCTGATCTTCGCCTGTATACAGGAATTAACTGGAGAAAGACCGTGTAGCGATCATTATTGTACATGAATAAATATCGGATACTAGTAATGGTAATTCGGTTGTGACTACTTCAGCGACTTGTAAGACATAGATTTGGAAGTTCCACTTTAGCGACTTCTGAGACATAGATTTCGAGGTTCGACTTCGTGGACTTATAAGACGTAGATTTGGAAAAAGTCTCAAGACAAAATTGCATACCATGAAGCGATAGTCCTTTGATCCAATGTATCGTGCAAATACCGTTCTGTTCTTGAAGTTTGAATTCCTGAACCCAATAATTGTACAAGAAGTATGAGTAAGTAAAAGTACATTCCGTTGCTAGATGTGCGGTATGGGTATAACGAGCGATTTCTGTAAACCAAATAAAATGACGATGACCCAAGCTAATCTAAAGCCGCGAAAGATCTCGGATCCAACCGATCAATGTCGTAGCACAACAACTCCGCTTGCCCCTCAGTCACAACCTTGGCGTCTTTGAACGAAGTTGCCGTATGCTGGCCAAGTCTCGATATCCATTGACTACGGGTGGCAAATGCGCGCGAATCCCTATTTTTCATCGCGGCAATGTGCCTCATGAACCATGTCTCCAGGCTTGCCGTCCATTCTCCTTGCCACTGCGTGTACTTGTCAAATACATCAATGGGAGGCCATAAGATATGGTTGTCGTCCGTTAGGCCTAATAGGGTATTGATGTGGGCGTCCGTTACCATGTCGTCAACATCGGTGCCGATACGCTCGACGTTCGAGTGCATAGAAGCGTCGCTCGAAGGTCCAGACAGGGCAGCCGAAATTAGGTTGTCTGGTCCAAATTGGATTGCAAGTCGCCACAGAAGACCGCCCATACCACAGAAACGGCGGCTGAATGGGAGTCGGAGCATATCCCTGACGCTGTTTTCGTACCGCTCAAACTCTCCGTTGCCCCTTGTGAGCAAGAGAGGTTTTTGGTCCAGATAGGCGGGACGTGGACCTGAGAGGGTACTCAGTGGGCCGACGAGGTGCTGGGGATTGGCAAAGACCCGCCAATCCATTCCGCGGGAGAGACAACGAATTGCGAAAAACCACAGGGGGACATCCGGATATTGCGCTCTCCATAGACGCAGTCTGATTTCAGTCCTCTTGGATACGACCAACCTACCACGAGATATGGCATGGAGGAGGTGATATGGAGGGTAACAAGCGATGTGGAGAAGGCGATTTTGAGGATCGCTACGCAACGACGGGGAAAGCGGATTGAGGTCGTCGTACTGTGCGAGGCAGTTCGTTCGATCTAAGATGAAGCGGGTTACTGTGTTATTGGCAGGACGGCAGCCCATCATGTTCAACCCTGCGACGCTTGTTACAGTAGAAGAGGGCAAGAACTGTAGATATCCCATTGGGAGAGACAAAGTGCCAGGAATTGATGACGGTGCAGCAGGTACGTTGGTGGAAGGTGCTCGTGTGGGATACGAAGGGTGACATGAATCAAGAGCTATAAATATAAAAATAAGTTCAGGATTCAGAGTAACGATAGTATGTACTCACGGCGCCGGTTTGGTTGTGGCCCGCGATGAGGCAAAGGCGCTGTGATAAGAAAAAATTGTTATGACAAGCTGCCTGTTTTGAGGGAAAGCAAACGTACTGCGATAACTTCTCCGGACAGGACTGTGTTGACGGTTGGACTGTCTGTGACTTCCCCGAGCTCTACCCGGCGAGGGGGATCTACCGCGGCGAGTCGAATGTTCTTGGGGAGGTGATCGGTAACGACGAGGAGGCGCGCGACGGTCAGACTGAGACGGAGCGTAATCTCTATATGACGATGGTCGACGGGGGGGAGACAGTTCTCGGCGAGATGCATGGTATGGCGATCCACGTGGAGGAGGAGACAATGAACGACGTGAACGGTTTGGAACGAAGGGCGCATGTGGGCGACGAGGAGAACGATCTCGGCGATTGACTGTGTCCGTCTTGCCCTTGGTTGGAGATGGTGCGTGTGACCCAGAGGTCACTTCGCCTGGCTCGATGTCGACGTCCATGCCGTCCTCCGCGATAACTCGACCACCCGAATCCGCCTTCTGTACCCGTTCGAGGCGTTCACGTTCAAGTTCCCTCTGCCTGTCGGCTTCCTTCTGCCTTTCGATCTCAAGGTCCTGCTGCCTCTTGATCTCAAGCTCCCTCTGCCTGTCGGATTCCTGCTGCCTTTCGATCTCGACTTCCATCTGCCTCTCGATCTCGAGCTGCTTCTGCCTCTCGACTTCCATCTGCCTTTCGATCTCCTTCTGCTCCTCCATCTCCATCTCTTTCTTGGCCCGCGCAACATCTGCTGCTCGTGCATCAGCTTTCTCCTTAAATATTGGTATCAGCTGCTTCCTCTTTTCCTTCTTTTGCTGCTCCGTTTCAGTTTGACACTGCGGCAGCCCGCCTGGTGACGTCGAAGGAGGAGGAGGGGGACCTGCTACCGTATCAGACGTAGAAACGGTAGGAATTTCTTCTTGTGGCACCGCGGGTAATATACTCGAAGCGATCCGCTGAAAACCATTTCGCTCGTGCACGCGCAGGGTCAGGGACGCCGAGGGGATCGCCAAAGACGTTATGAGCAATGGTATTAACGCAAAACAGTCCGCAAGAAATTGAATCTTGCTGAATGCCGTGTGCGAGGGTATTTCCTTGGTCTTCGAATGGCCCATGAAACGCACGGTGAGCCACCGCTGTAACTTCTGAATGAAGCTCCCGAGTCCCCCTCGGAGATTCAAAGAGTCTCCTGTGTTAAAATCAGTTTGTATCTTACTAGTTAGGGAAATGTCCTACCATAGCGCAAGGTTTTACGTTTAAAATCAATGCGAAACGCAACAAAGTGGGACATTCCGGGGATGCACACTGGGAAAAAGAGAATCTTCCCTTCGGCGAGCGTCTGCTCTAACGTCTTGAATGCATTGGGCAACGAATCAAAGTTCGGTTTTAGCCATGCAGATCGCATCCGCGAGCTCGGTGTCAGTGATAACGAGGTTGGACTGGTTGGGGACTAATCGTCGGATAGTGGAGTGTATCATCATGTCCACGAGAGAATCCGACAACCAAGCGTCGTCCGACAAGAATCGTGCAAGCTGTGATGTACTTCTTAGGCTAGTTGAGGCTTGCCCAGCCAACTTCTTGTGGTATGGTAGACGATACATCTCTTGGCGGGCAGATAGAGGATTCATATCGCAGTCGTACATTTTTTTGCGACAACCACCTATTTGCATTTTGCCACAACATTTTGGCATCGCGCACCGCGTGTAGCTTCTCCCAAAGACTCAACATCCAAAGAGGCAACGGTTGATCTTTGAGTTGGGGGTGGACGATCGACCTCTTTCCTTCGCGAATGGCATCGTCGAGAGACTCTCGAAGGCTATAAACCCACGGCTTTGGGGGTATAAATGGTGGGAGGTCCAGGTTCTCGTTCGGACGTGCACTGTCAAAGCATGATGCTCCGGCCTGTGCGAAGGACCCATCGTCGACGTCGGGCAGCGTGAATTTTAGTATCTGCCGTACATTGACGGCGTCGGATGATGGCAGCAGCATGCTGGATACCTCTTTCGGGATGTCCATAATCTCCGATAGAAGATCGAGGTCTTCTGGATCTAATGCTCTGTCTCCTGCATCGACCCATTTTCCAACCGGTACATGGACAGTAACACGCGGAGGAGTGGGGACAACGGTAGGAGGAGGAACGGGAGCGACTGCGGGGGGAGGTATAGCGTCATCCTCGTCGATGTCAAATAGATCCTCCTCGTCGGTACCGTCGTAGTCGGAGTAGTAGAGTAGTCGTAGTAGAGTTCGATATCTCCCGTTCGTGGGTGAAATATGTCAGACGGCACATAGTTCTTCAGCTCTTTGATTTCTTCGTAATTTTTGGTGATCTCTTTGCGCGGTTGCGTTTTGCCTTTGGTGACGAAGATACGCTTCGCGGCTTTCTGACCTTTGAAGGGAGGCTCTTGTCCGTCTGGCCAGAATTGGCCCGGCTTGCTGCAATAGTCGACGACTGGAGCAAAGGAGTCAGACGAGTGTTAATAGATATTCGGTCGACGTACATGTAGGGCCCCGTTTTGGCCGTGTGGTGATTTGCTCGACGTCTGCCCATGGGTTTCTCTGGCCAAGACGAAGCTCCGAGGGACGTTGATCCCTTTTCATTGTCTAAGGAACGGAAATGAGGTGTTGTGAATGATGATGAGGATTTGTCTCACCAGGAGCATGATCTTCGACTGTGGGTTTTCGAGTCACAGACATGGCCGCAGGCCGTATACGAGGTGTGGAATTCGCGGCCTTTGGCTTTCTTGAGGATGGAGCGTTGAACCGAGGCATGTGACGTGTCGGAGAGGGTGTAAGGCAATGCGCGGTTCGAGAAGTTGAGGGACTGAACCACGGAGAGAAGACTCGAGTTTAGGTGGTTGGGGATATCAACGAAATGCTGGATGCGCACTGGTGATGTGTTGAAACGCAGATGGGCAGGTATTTAGAGTCGGAGTGCTTGTTGAGCGCGTGTTCGTAGAGATATAAACCACCGAGAAACGACTCGCTGGAATTTCCAACGAGAAGTTACGGTGAGATTGAATGTAGTTGATGAACAAGTGACGAGGAGTTTAAGTCAAGGATTTGAGTAATCAAGGCAGGCGGAGTGTGAGCAATGTTGAGGTGCCACAAATGGCAATATTGTTGATCCACAATTCCACACACAAACGTGGAAATTCCATTTCGGTGGTCTGTAGTTCAACGTGCTATAGATAATGATTATGTGGAGTCGCGAATCCTTCAACTGTGGTCAAATTTAATGTTTTGAGATTGAGGCACGCTGAGAACCAACTGTGCTGAGAATGGATGGCGTTCCGTGAAAGTTGTCAGAGCTGAGCAAGATCAACTCTCCAGAAAATGATACTAGGACATGTGCAAATGTGTGTGCATACAATATTTTCGCGTTACTCTAGGTTGTACCGGATCTGTTACAATGATATTGGAAATGTGAATTACATGTACACGGCTACAATAGAACACGACTGCTGGATGCGCTGTTGCTGTCCATTCCAACCTACACTCGTTCGGTCTCGTGCTAGCCCGCCTTTGTTCCAATTGACACCGGAACATCAGCAGATGATCAGGATCAAAAATAGCGAGGTCGCAGGAAACCAGAGAGAGCACGCTACCTGACGTAGGAGTACCAGCATGGTTTCCACTGATTGGGTTCATGGAAGCGGGGCAAGGGGGATGGGACTGCTGCATTACAGTAGGCGAACTTGGGGGTGAGGCGATATGGGGACGGTGAGTTTCTGCGGCCGTCCATGGTCACGACAATGGTGTTATCTGTAGCTTGATCGATTGTAGGGCTGCATAGACGAGTCACACGGTGAAACCGGGAAATGGGTATACCTGTGGTATATGTAGTATATGTAGTATATGTAGGGCAAACTGCTGCAAGATAATGAATGCGAATGTGAGGAAGTCTCGTACCAGAAAAATTTGAGCGAGTGCGGTCTGAAACGAATGAAGCAGTCGAACGCGTCAGTTTCTCCATAGCGTTTGTGCAAATGGTTGAGCATGATCTACTTCTAGGATAACCTCTGCAATCAGCGAATACGTGTAGAGTCGTACACCGCTGAAAAAGTCTTTAGTACGTTGACCTCTAAGTGAATGCAAGCGATGCCGGATTACAAAAAAAAACACGTACGACATGAACCTGCAACGACTAGTAAACTAGGAGGATTGAGAGGAAGGGGCGATCTGACGTTTTGCCTGCGGTAAATGTGAGCATGCGGTTGACAAGGGAAAACGGCGTTCGTACGATGAAGGGATCTGGTTGAGGACCGCTATGGAGGTGTTGTAGAGGACATGACGGGGGGTCCGACGAGGGAAGGCTCAGTTTGACGCGTCCAAGTCAAACGTGGCAGCTTGGAGGCTGGCGACTTTAGCGACTTCCGAGACTTTAGACATTAGGGTTAGAGGCTATGGAGCCGTTTGCGACGGCGTCTGCTTCGAATTACGAAGCAAAGGTTTGTACGAACATCCGAGTACATTGGATATAAGGGCACTGGCGTGAGAGGTTCAAGTCAAACGTAGCAGCTTCGGAGGCTTCCAAGACTTTGGCGACATCTGCTTCGAATTACGAAGCAGAGGTTTGTACGAATGTCCGAGTATTTTGGATATAAGGGCGCTGGCGTGAGAGGTTCAAGTCAAACATAGCAGCTTCGGAGACCTCCAAGACTTTGGCGACATCTGCTTCGAATTACGAAGTAGAGGTTTGTACGAGCGTCGGGATGTTTTGGATGTAAGGGCACCGGCGTACCAAGGAGTTCGAGTGAAACGTAGCAGCTTCGGAGACTTCCAAGACTTTGGCGACATCTGCTTCGAATTACGAAGCAGAGGTTTGTACGAATGTCCGAGTATTTTGGATATAAGGGCGCTGGCGTGAGAGGTTCAAGTCAAACATAGCAGCTTCGGAGACCTCCAAGACTTTGGCGACATCTGCTTTCGAATTACGAAAGTAGAGGTTTGTACGAGCGTCGGGATGTTTTGGATGTAAGGGCACCGGCGTACCAAGGAGTTCGAGTGAAACGTAGCAGCTTCGGAGACCTCCAAGACTTTGGCGACATCTGCTTCGAATTACGAAGCAGAGGTTTTGTACGAATGTCCGAGTATTTTGGATATAAGGGCGCTGGCGTGAGAGGTTCAAGTCAGATGTGGAACCTTGGGAGACTTCCAAGACTTTGGCGACATCTGCTTCGAATTACGAAGCAGAGGTTTGTACGAATGTCCGAGTATTTTGGATATAAGGGCGCTGGCGTGAGAGGTTCAAGTCAGATGTGGAACCTTGGGAGACTTCCAAGACTTTGGCGACATCTGCTTCGAATTACGAAGCAGAGGTTTGTACGAGCGTCCGAGTATTTTGGATATAAGGGCCCTGGCGTGAGAGGTTGAAGTCAGATGTGGCACCTTGGGAGGCTGGACTGGCGAATTTAACAGCTTTAGCGACTTCTGAGGCTTTACATATTAAGCTTAGTGACTACGGAGACGTTGGCCACATGCATCTGCTTCGAATTACGGAGCAAAGGGTGGTACTTGACGAACGTCGGAGTGTTTAGGATAGAAGAGCAGTGCCGTGGGAGGTCCAAGTCAAACGCCGGTAGCTGTTTACTTTGGCGACTTCGAAGACGTTGGCAACATCCGCTTCGAATTACGGAGCAAAGATGTGTAGTTGTAGATATTGGGATTAGAGACTGCAAAAACTTTGGCCACAACGTCTGCTTCGAATTACGAAGCAGATGTTTGTACTTGAGGGAGGTTGGAGCGTTTGGGATAGAAGGGCACTGGCGTGGGAGGTTCGAGTCCACTGTGGCACCTTGGGAGACCGGACTGGTGACTTTGGCAGCTTTAGCGACTTCTGAGACTTTAGACATTAAGCTTAGAGACTGCAGAGACGTTGGCCACAAGCATCTGCTTCGAATTACGAAGCAAAGGGTCGTGCCTGACGAACATCAGAGTGTTTTGAATAGAAGAGCATGGATGGAAGAGCACTAGGCCGTGGGAAATTGGTATGATTGAAACGTGTCGTTCTAGTTACTTTGGAGACTTCCAAGACTTTGGCAACTTCCGAGGGTATATGTTAAAAATTCGAAGTAAAGTATCTGAGTCCTCTAACATTGCATTTTCTGTTTCATCGTTACAGTCTCTTAATACACGATGACGACAGAATTACGAGCAGCATTGAGAAAAAAGAAGTCTACACGGAGCCGAACTTTTCTGCCATCAACTTGGCAGCGAGGGCAACGGCAGGCAGCGACTTGTCTGGCAAAAATCCTTTCATGGATACCAGAGCTTCGAGACAGTATTCGATGTGCATATTTGGCCGGGAGACATATTCCTCGAATTACGAGGAAAAGGTCTTAAAAGGGTGGCTAATGAGTGTAGCATCCATTACATGCGAGTGTTGAGCATCGGAGTTGCTCTTTCCATGACCATATATAGTAAATACTCCCGTGTACCCATCTAGGTACAACGCCTTACAGCCTGAGGATGTTTCCAAATAGTGGCGATAAATATGATATACGCAGCGTTTGGGAAATGTGTGAATCCCACCAATTTAAGTGGAGAATGATGCCCATCTGATACCATATCTAGGCAATGTAATTTCGTGCTGCCCTCGGAACTAACCCGACATATGAGTCATGTCTGACTCGTTTAACAAGTCGATATTTGTACTTAGGCAGGCATTGCGAAATGCAACATTGAGGTTTAACTCAGTGGCCATATCTATATCTATGCTAATGTTACGTATGAATGGAGAGCACTACTTAAACAAGCACGAGTCCAGGAGATCGCTGGATGCGCCAAAGTCCGAACGTCCATAGAGTCCTCTAAGCGACAGAAGTCAAATCGATGTTACAGTATTGTAGGAGTGTGGGTATATGAAGTCTCTGAGATTGGAGGTACGTAAATGAATCAGACAACATTACAATGTCGTAAAGCGCTTTAGGCAGGTCAATAGTTCTTCTCTACTGATGGGTTCCCCTGGATGCATTTGGTTGTTGCTCCCGTCCGTCTGCTTCTTGCGATATGTCTTGGTTGCCGTCTTCAAGTCCTTCCAGAAATGTTTGATGATGGCGTTTGCAATATCGTGCGCTGGTTGAGTGGTGCTCGATCGTACTTTTGGTTTTTCGGTGCCGGCAGCCACATATTTATCGCATTCCAAGACCATAGTGCACAGGGCGATGAGGGGCCTGTTGTATAACTCTGGAGATGGCATTACAAGCCTGCGACTTCATGCGGGTAAGGAATAGACTTACTAACGCGACGCGATATGCGTGGTAAGTTGATGACCATTCGCTGGAACGTTTCGAGGGAGTGTGCGTGTACTTGGTTAGTGAGGATTTTGCCTTGTTTATGGTCTATGTAACGAGAGAGTTCCGTTAAATGCATGCATTCGTAGTTGTAGAAATGCCCCCCGGTAGCAAACGAAGCCACAGGTGTGTAAACCGCGTGAAACTGTCCTGCCGGTTGTATACTCCCAAATATAAGTCCAAATCGATATAAATATAATATCACGATGCACTCACAGCATGTCACCCGGCAAGAGAGTGACAATTTCTCCGTGCCAATTTTCCTGGATATTCTCTCGGTTTCGGTAGAGATCGGTCAATGTTAAGGCTATGTTGGAGAGGTTGGTCCGAGTAATCGTGTCCTCGTGGATTGGTTTGAATAGGCCCCATTTTTTCTCGCCGGTTTCAATTTGAACAAAGGTCACGCTGCCATCAGAGTCGTGGTGGGGATTTGTCCAATACGCGGGCCCGTGGAGCAAAGACCACGAATGTACGATGAAGTTGTCCGGATGGACTTTGTCACCGATGGGGCAATCGACTGTGGTTTGATTCCATCCGTTGGTAATGCCACTGTCGAGAGTACTAGGCGTGGACGGGTTAGTATTGTAACGGCGTGCGATGGTACGGTACGCACCTCAGATATGACGGGAGACCGCCCTGTCCATATGGAACGTCGAGTATACATTGTATCTTTAACACCAGAATTGAACACCTTTGGGTAGAGGTTTGCTGTCAGTTCGCCCGACGATGGAAGGCATTCTTCACACGCCTTGAACGCCTTCATGGGCTAAATCGCAAGAATCCCCACCACTTATGGCTCCTACCTTTTCTTTTTCTTGATCTCGTGAACATAGATTGCGAGATCTTTGTGGAGGAATGAAACCATCATCCAATCTCTGGTCCAACAACACAGCACCAATCTTCACTGGTAAGTAGAGGAGTTCTCGCATCAAGTTTTTCTGCTTACTCTCACTAGGATATTCGTTTGCTCTCTGATATTGAGAACGGAGTTTATATACCGATCCATTGCATGTACACCCTGATATACTTACCCGATACTATGGTACTGGTGGCCCCACCACTGTCTCGCATTGATGGAGAAGATTCCGATGTGCAAACTCAAAACCACCTCACGAGACGAGATTGCCAGTGACCTGCAGTCAAACCTTCATGACCAGACAACTCAAACCCATTCCCTTCTCCGAAGCAGAGGTTCATTTTTCACCAAGCCCCTCGCTGATGTGCAATCTGCAGGCGTGAAGCCTGATAATACAGATTTCGAAAGCAAGACTTAGCCTTGTCTGCCTCGACGAGCCACATGACAAAGGTCAGCAGTAGTAAGGATGCCAGGGTAATTATATCCCCTAGGATGTCAATGCTACAACTCGTTGATCGAATTTTATGTATAGAAGAAAAACCGCAGCAAACCTTCGAAAGGCAGGTATTGGATCAATTGTCATGGTGACTTGTGAGTACCTAAATTCATTGTGCCCCCCCAAGACTCGCATTGACATCAACGATTATTTTATGAGAATAGAAAGGGCTGCATGAAACGGAAGCTCGCACCTGACACAGCCAAGACCGAAGGCTGCGAAAGCTCAAGCTTGCTGTATCCAAGGGACCCGATGACGAAGATCTGCAGATTGCACCGAACATGACAAAAAGTGACATTGACGAATATTTACATACCCTATTTCCCCGCCTCTTTGATTTCCTCGAGAACCGCCATATTGCTAACAAGAACTCAGACTCAACTACTGGTACTTGATTGTCAAAAGTGGCAAGGATATGGTTAAGAGCAGTCAGGAAGGACTCACAGGAAATGAGGGTGTTGAAAACTCGCCATCCTGCTGGTCGGAAGTGGACTGATCAGTTCATCTATTTGGTAAGTCTGGACAGTTTGACGGAAAACTCATTGGCACGCGATATATGTGCATACCATCTAGGCACAGTCCTCGACGTGGACCCAGATTCCTTTGATGATTCCATGAGCGAAGTTGAATGCTTGGAGGACGGCAAGGCAAGTCACGGTCGGAAGTGATGATATGGATGAGAGTGGCCTGAGGCACCACTCCCAAAGGGAAAAGGTTTCGCACCTTAGCAACTTCTCCGAAGCTTAAGCACTTACAATTTTTCTTATGCTCAGATTTTAATCTCAAAAAACGAACTCGGTCTGCCAGTACCAAGCTGTTCGCCACTTCCCTCGATTCTGACTCAGATGATTCCGAAGTTGTCGTGGTTGAAGATCACGAACGGACGAAGCGGCCACAGAGGAAGCGCCAGTAAGGTATGTCATGACTTCATCATTTTATTATTATATCCAATTCTCACTACATATTTTAAAGTTGCCACGGAGAGTGAGGTACGACCTGAGTTCAAGGCATCAGCTGTGTTAGTTCTCGGCACCAAGGTCTTCAAACGTGAATTCAAATGACAAACGAAGGGACCAGTTCCAGTACGGCTATACACACCCAAATCGATAGTGTCATGTGGCGGTTGGAATCATTGGAGACCTTGGGGGCTGGACGATGTCCAACCAGCTGAAGATGAACCCAACTTCGACACACAACTTGGATTACCAGAAGAATCAAGTGCACCAGCCATACAGGACGAATATAATTATGAACCATACAATACTATCGACTTCGGTGCTTCCGTCCCCAGTGAAGATATATTGCCCTCCGCATCCGTGTTAGCAGTTACTTCCTTGACGGCGGCTGTTTCTTCCTCGACTCGTGAAACTGGTTCCGGCCTTCCACAGAATCTTCATGCAGTGCGCAACAACACTCCACGGTTCTCGTCATCCCGTTCGGGATTCGACATGCTCGTCAAACCAAAGCACAACCCCTGGGATAGGAAATGAGGACATTCATTATTTTCGTTGTTTTTTCCGACACTCTCACCTGAATCTACCCTACAATCATGTAATTGGACTGCAGTAAGCCTTAGATTGTTTTATCCTATTTTACCTTGACTGTACGTCAAAATTTTTATACATCGTTAGTATCGAAACGTCGAAGTGTCTGTGTTCCGATTTCTTTTCTGCGTGTGTGTGCGCGTGATGTAATTATGGTGCATTTGGCCCACCATACCCAATCTAATGTCTAAAACGCGGCGCTGATTGGCAAAATGCGAAGATAAGGTCGTGTAGTTTGGGGTTTCCCATGCTGATGATGTTAAATATTAACAAGACCAGATAGGATGGGCTTGGAGTAGATTATCTAGAAGGGCTTGGTGAGAGCATAGTTTAGCCATACGACGTGTCAGTCGCTGAAACGGGTAGGGACAGGTGATCATACTGTGAGATTGCAGAGCGAGCTACATCCAAGACTACACGCACGAAGCAAGCAGCATCGCCAATCAACCATTTTCCTAGGGTCATTGGTGCCAAGCGCGTGGACCTCCAGCCGCAGAATAACAACCTCACCCACAAAAACGGAGATGATGCGCCCGAATGAACCGCACGTGGTACGCCACCCTAGGACGGTAAATATTGAGACTACGAAGTTTTTGAGACAGGGAGGCTTAGTACCTTGGTTGACTGGTGCGCCTGCGAGAAAACAAACCAAGCAGGCAGCTGTGAGTCAGAAAATTCTCAGTTTTCCGTGGGAAAGTATGGTGCTAGACGGCATCAGCTCGCTTGGCCCTGCTGGCGCTACAGTTCGGC